TTTTTTCTGTTTTTTTTTCTCTCTTTCGTTCTTTTTTCTGTTTTTTCTTTCTTTTTGATTAGATATCCCATAGTGGGTAACAATACTAAGACCATGTTTTCAGGACGGAACTTCCATTCTTCAAAAACTGGGATAGGTTTCAAAGGTGCAAAAGGAATTTTCTGGATATGTTTTCCAACCAACTGACAGGTATGACAAGTTTTACAAAGCTGAGAAACGTCTTACCTAATTTTTGGCCAAAAGAAATGTCTTATAATTTTGTCACATGTCTTGTTGAAACCTAAATGACCTCCCATGAGGATTTCATGGGCGATTTTCAATATTTCAGAATGATATGCTTTGGGAACAACGATTTGATAAACAATAGCCCAGTCCTCTGAAGCTGACACATCTGGTGGTCTCCATTTCTTTATAAGCACATTATTTTTGAAAAAATAACCATTTGGAACTTTCTCCAGTTCATGTTTTGGGAGTGCATATTTAAATAGTGAAGAGATCTGCAGATCTTATCCTTGCTCAGCTATCAGTTTACTTTTGGTAAATGGAGCTTCACCAGGTGACTCATATCCCTCACGTCCATCATCGTCTCTCACTGAGGCATTGTCAGTAGAACGATCATCCACAAGATCCCAGTCAGATCCTAAAAAAATGTCTGAGACGGTTCTGTAATATCGTCCTTTGAATCCATCTCTATCATTTGTTTTTGGCTTAATTTCTTAGCTTAAGCTCAAGTCATGGCACACGAGGGAAACGCATCTGGATTCTCCTCAACTACAACATCATCTTTAGATGAAACAGTGATCGGCTCATTAACCATTTTAGGTTCGGCAACAAGTTTTTCCCCAGCCAAATCGTTTCCCAACAACAATGATACACCCTTAATTGGCAGAGTAGGTCTTACTCCAACCACAACTGGTCCCGAAACTAGGTATGATGCTAAATATATGTTATGAAGAGGATCATTAACAAAGCCACCCTCAATACCCTGAGCAATAACAGACTCACCAGTGGCAGAACTCGAATCTGAAGGCAATACACCTTCAAATAACAATGACTGAGTCGCCCCAGTATGACGTAGAATATGTATGGGTATGGGATTGCCAGTGTCATTTGTGAAAGACACAGAACCAACAAACACAAAAGGGTCTAAATTCCTCCCTAATTACACCAGCCTTTACATTAGTGGCCATATCAACAACATCAGGTGATCTGGTGAAACTACACTCTGGGTATTCCTTCCTTTTTCAAACACCAACAATTGGACATATCATGACCAGATTTTTTACAAAAATGGTAGACAGGCCTTGATTGTTTTAAAGAAGTTTTATCCTGACTGTCAAAAGATTTCGAACTAGAGGAGCTGGATTTGTTAGAAGTGTTACGACAGTGGAGGTCACGTGACGCTAGTAACACGTCATGCGCTTCTAGAACATTCATGAAACCTCAAGGGACTACTAGATATGCGGTGGTCTTGTATATAAGCTGCCAAGAACTGATGGCAACAATGGTAATTGAACTGCGGACAGAGAGAGACTATTGTTGAGTCAGGCACGTGAAATATAGTATTTGTTATAGCGTGACTGTGGAAATTAAGTGTATTGCAAAGTTGTATTTAGAAAGAATAAACCAGTTTTATTTAAGAAAGGACTTGTATCGCTAAAGTTTCTTCGGAAATAAATTATACGGAAAATTAACTAACAACGGAGGCATAACAGAAGAATCCTCGACTTTAGTGGATTGAACAGATACAGGTTTTTGTTGAGATGGTAAGAATTTATTTTTATGAAAAGTTGCTTTGTGTGTTAAAGTGTAGTCATCAGAAAGAGCAGCTGCTTCCTATAGTGTTTCAACTTTCTTTTCATCTAAGTAAGTTTTGAGGTCGTCATGTGCACAACGTTTAAATTCTTCAATTACACATAATTGTCTTAGTTTGTCGAAAGTATTGTCAGTTTGCATCAAATTACACCATCGATCAAAATAAACCTATTTTAGTGGCAAATTCCATATAAGTTTGATTATCTTGTTTGCAATAACCTCTAAACTTTTGGACGTATAAGCCTCCTGGTACTAACTCATATGCTTTGAGAATAGCTGCTTTAACTATCATAATCGTACACTTTTCTAATGAGAGAGCAGCATAAGCTTCTTGTGCTTTATCAGTTAAGACGCTCTGTAATAATGATGACCATTTTCCGGTGGGCCATTCCATGATTTGGTCAACCTTCTCAAAATGTTGGAAATGTTTATCAACTTCATTTTCATTGAACGGTGGTACTTTAACATATCAATTAAGTTCAAAGTTGTCATTTTGCCTTGGTCGATCAGCGTTGAGTCTAATTTCCATTTCTTTCAGCCTAATTTCTTTCTCGACTTCGATACGGGTTTATTCGACCTCGAGACGTTTATTTTCTCTTTCTGCTTCGATACGAGCTTGTTCTTTCTCGGCTTCAATACGAACTTGTTCAAGCTCGAGTTGTTTGAGTTTTAGCTGGATCTCTAATTTATTTTTATCACTGAACCCCGATTGGCTAGTAGGGACACTAAAGTATTCCTCTACTGCTTCCTGAGGCAACAAATCATCATCTACTAGTATTTCGATAATATGTTTTTTAGTTCATTTTTTCTCATTTATCTTTTAACTTCTAGTTCTAAAACTTTGGCAATTTCGAGCAATTCATTTTTGTAATATATTTTCTAGTTGTTCTAGGGAGGGTGATACAAGAAACTCTTGATAATGAGACGTGATCAGATCTTGTTGGCACTGATAAATATAAATTCAATTGTGATTTAAATTTTAATTTAGATCGAATTTTGTCTCTGATTGAGACCTCGGACACAAGCCCCCAATTTATTATGTTACATATTATAATTTCAAATGGTCCGAAGCCGAGTTAACTAATAATTTAAATTTAGTAATTAAATTGCACTTTGGATTTAGTATTTAAATAAATGCCGATGTATAGTCAGTTTATGATATTTGCAAACAAGTTGGATACACAGTTTTCTTTTTTAACACAGATACGTTTAATATACACACAACAATACAATTTATAATAACAATTATTACAAATAGTTATTACCATCAATGATTTATATCGAAAAGTTTCACAAACTTACAAACAATATAAAGTCTTTTTTCTAGTCTGGAACTTCCTTGATATCTTATCGAGGGTTTACGATTGGACTAACGAGAAGCTAGCTAGCTTTGTCCTTCGTTTTTTATCGGCCACACACGTCGAGTTTTCCTCGATGAATTTATATAGTGTTTTCGTAAAATACGAATGTCCGATTTGTAACGTTCGAAATTTATAAATATTCCTGGTCAAATATCTTAAGTTTTCCGATTGATAAGCGTTATTCAAATCACAGTTATAGTTTTCGAAGTTTATAGCACACTGATTATAGCGAACTACTAATAGACACTCTTCCTTTTGGCGCATCGTGTTGGTTATATTTATAGGCGTGGGAAGATTTTCTAGAAAATTTAGATTACATAATAATGCAAATTAAAGCGTTTACGTACACACTTATACTTTTGATTCTAACTCATGAGAATCTTCTACAACTTTTGAGAACAGGCGGAAATTTCGCAATACATATTTAACACTCTAAGCTATGCATGTTTTTAAATATAAACTGAATCTAAACAACGTTCATATTAAAATAAATACATAACAACAAATTTTTTACACTTTCTCTAAACAAAATGTTCATGAAATTGAAATAACTGACTACCTGGCTTTCAGTGACAGAAAACTAAGTAAGTAACTTCCTAAATTAATTATCAGTTATCGTCTACTCTAGCCTATCTTATGTTTAATACTGTTAAATTGCTTACGAAACTTTCAAGAAGGTTACAGTCATTAAGGCACGACAATTATCCTACATAAAAAATCTCTAGCTAATACAACTGTCTAAAAGCATTGCCTACAACAATACTTTTAATGCTAGAATAAAGTTTCAGGTCCAAACCCTTCTAAGGGATGTAGTTAGTTAAATGACAAAAAATGATAAAATCAGAAAAATTGTTTGTTTGTTGTTAAGGTCTAATCTACAGAATTAGCTATATGTATTCTGCCCTCCGTGGGTATCGAAACCAGATTTTTATGGTTATACGCCCTCAGATTGCTGAGCCACCGGGGGGAACTTAGAAATGATCATAATCAGTTCATTGCAATAATAAAGTGAGAGTCTGGTGTTGCTGGGTGACTTTGTATGGATAATATGATTACACGAGTAATTCATATAATTTTTTCAAAAGCAGAAGAAACAATATCACAAACAACGCTTAAAAATTTGATCATAAACATGATACAAATTAACAACTTTTTATTGAGGAAAATGTAATCTAATTAGAGAAATTTAATGTCTTCGTTAGTGCAGGTTGTGTCAAAACATGAAAAAGAAATCGTTTGACAAACAAGTGTTTGTTGTATTCAAGATCTGGGTATTACGTTACATCTACACCTTACAGATGCAGAAATGTGAAACTTACCTACAGGGCAACCTCTTTCTCCTGTTATACTGCTATAGCCATGGCAACAATAAAACTTCACAATTCTGTTTTCAACAAAAGAACCCAATACTTAAAATTAGACTAAGATATATGGAAAAAAACATTTGAATTCTAAATTTAAGCATTCTTTGTACAAAAGTAATTTATGTTCTCATCGCAAAAACTATAATTTTGGACGCATCACGATAACTTAAATACCTTAATTAATAGACATTTTGTTTTCAACTATTTACTTTGACAGGCCACTTTTTATGTATATTTCAGATGCTTAAGGCTTTGATCATCGCAATTATCTCAATGTACATTGAGTTTTACATAAATAACTCCATAGCTTAATAGCTTCAGCAATATCATAAACAATTCAAATTTATATGTATCACAATTATACTTTTATCAAATGTTTACATCTTGACGAATTAGAAGATAATTCACCGCGATTATGTGTAGATTTAAGTTATTAGACATATTCTTTAAATGGGCAGATTAAAAACTTAAGTGACTTACGTCTCTTGTCCACATATATTTCCACTGGACCAAGGTATGGCAAACACCTTTCCATTTCCTTTTGATGTGAACTGTTCTTTTGCACAGACTCCTGGTCTAGAATGTATAAAAAAGGAATATTGGTGATTTGTTTGTCTGTTGGTTGATTGGTTGCTGTTAAGCTCAAAGCTACACAATGGGCTATCTATGCTCTGCCAACCACAAGTATCGGAATATTTATGAAATGTAGAGTAGCTTTATTAAAGAATATTATTGTTACGTGTCTACCTGTTTAATAATTTCCGGTATAAATTCTTTCCGAGGAACTTCAGCGATACAAGTCCCTTCTTGATTAAACCAGTTTATTCTTTCTCCATACAAACTTTTAGTACACAGTAATTTCGCAATCAATATGTTTCTCGTCATTTTAAACTTAACTACTTTTATAATACATGCTATAAATCACAGCGATTCATAATCTCGATAACTTCGCTTTCTACAAGTGCAAAACACTAGCTCGAAACAAAATCGTAAATTACCCGGAACTCTCTTCATTCATTCTTGCAGGCTTTTTCTGCCAGGCTTATATACTAAAGAAGAAGGCGTCTCGAAAACACTCGGGCCTCCCCGATCATTCATGATCATTCGAGAAATTCATCACGTTTCACCAGGTTCACGTAACTTCCGCTGTCGTAACATTATTGTTTTAACATCACAATACATATACTGTATTTACACGTGAATTAAATCCTCCTTACAGAGCATATTTCAAAATCATTCAAATTAATCGAAGATTAGAAATAATATAATATTATGAAATAACAAACACAACAATAAACATTTATTATTTAGTAGTAATTTTCATGTATGTGATATAATATGACTATAAGACAAATAATAACTTAAATCACGATATTAGCATATTGACATTATATCAGGCTTGAACGATTTTGTATATTGTACCAGCCATATGTGCGAAAAGCCTCGTCGGCAGTGATATATAACAATTTATAGTACATACTTCTTTCTGGAACAGAGTAAGTAATTTTTGAAAACAACATAATTATGAATAATCTTTCCGATTCTTGACGTGGGATAACATTATTAAATATATAAATTTCTGTGAATTTTTCCATATTTACTTATATTATTTTTATTATTTCACAAGCTTACCAGCCAATACTGAAGCCTACAACAGATAACTTTTCACGGAAAACCTACACAACGTTTTATAAATAAATCATTAGTAGAGTAAATATACATATCTAACACCAGCCACTAGCAAACGACCAGAAAAAAATATGTTTATTTCATTCCCTTATAGTGACCTCTATATAGATATGTAAGTATGTGTGGAACAGCATATGAGGGTACACGTATGTATATATATATATCCGCATCTTGCACATTTTTCCATTTACATTAATCATTCATCTATCTCAACTATTTTATACAATAAAACTAGTGATTTAATTGTATAAGATTTGACTTTTGTAAAAGTTATGGTTCAAACGCCGAAAGCTAGCTAAACAATAGAAATCAATAGCCCTAAAATTTATGTTTTAAATCACATTCGTTTGTTGAACTTTGCGCAAAGCAACTCGATGGTTATCTGCGCGGGATCATGACATTTTACAACCGTCATATGACTGGGGCGACATTTTATTACTGTAGTAAATTATTGCCGGTGCATTTTACTGCCGGCAAATAATTATGACATCAAAACAAAACATTTCCTAACAAAGTGAACGACTTTATTCTCAAAACTTACAGTGAACTAATAAACTATCGCACTAAACTTGATTAAAAATATAATTGAATAATAAAGTAATTGAATATCTTCCTGGAAAAAAAAAAGACTATCACTATATAGCAAATACGTACACTATTATTTATGTTTGACGTAATTTTCGTGTTCGAGGTTTTTTGGCATGATAATTGTTGCTTCTATAACATTCCGATAATATAATTTCTATACTTGCAGAAACCCTTAATATGAAATAATTAATTGCTACATCCCTTTATCAGCAGTAAAATGCATCGGCATTTATTTACTACGGCAGTAGAATGCAGTAGAACCTCTTATCTTTAGTATTTCTTATCAGTTCAAATTTAAGGATTGCTATGAGCAATTTGTTTAGCTTTACTTGAAAATTGTGAAACAAGAAAACCATTCTATTTCAATGATTATTACGTTATTTAGAATTCCGTAGGTTGTTCCCTCAGTACTAAATATATGTGTAGTTTTTTGTTTTTAAATCCAGTCCTGAGTATATTGTGATTTTACTTTCTTTTGTTTGCTTCGAAAGTGTAATGGATGTTTTGGGTAGGTTACTGACTACTGGTAGTCAAAGTTTCTATAGTGTAATGGATGTTTTGGGTAGGTTACTGACTACTGGTAGTCAAAGTTTCTATAGTGTAATGGATGTTTTGGGTAGGTTACTGACTACTGGTAGTCAAAGTTTCTATAGTGTAATGGACGATATTTCCTTGATGTTTTTTAATTCTAGTATTAACATATTGTTGTATTTCTCCCATATATATTATTTTACCCTTCACATCGTGTAGTATACACAACGTTTTTCTCTTTTTGCTATATAATTGAAGACGGTGACTTTATACTCGTTAAGTTACCAAGCAAGTTTGTTTGAAAAGTCTTAAGCAACTGGATGTTAAAGGTATACATAGTTCTTTTTTCACGCAGTCCCGAAATATATGGTAAAATTATTTTCCTGTTTTGTTTTCAAGATTAATGTATGTTTCAGATAGTTCACTGACAACACAGGTGGTCTTTTTTTAACTAATTTGTTTTGGATATTTATTTAACAAAAATGTGTTCAAATTGTTTTAGTTCAGTGGTAACACATTCGTTATTGCATATCTTCTTTGCCCAATGTTTTAGAATCCCTCCCCACACCCTCAGTGGCTCAGCGATAACTTTTAGGACTTATAACGCTAAAAATCGGGTTTTCATACCGGCAGTGGGCATAGCACAGATAACTCATTGTGTAGATTTGTGCTTAATAGCAAACAAGCTTTACGCGTGACCGTGTTCTATAATCCTAATAGTATCAATGGTAAAAGTCATTATATCACCAGGACAGGCTTAAGGTATTCCGTCCTCGTCGGAACCTCTGCACTACTATAATCGATAATCACACACACATACACACACATATATATATATACTATATTAAATGAACGAGATGTCTTAATTTCTAGTAAATTATCACTTCAGCATTTCCGCCTATGTGTGTTTTAGTTGACACTATTTAGATTTAGAAGAACTTGGTTTTTCTCGTCTTTTTTTTTCTTCCTTCTTTTTGGCTGCCAAGGTGTGAAGTTCTTCTTTAAGATCTGGATTTTTAAATCTATTAGAAGTTTGTTTTATATTAAAGTTGAATACATTACAGTGTTTGTGTCTATAACTGCAATTTCCATGTCTACTTCTTCTTCATCGGGATTCGATCCATGTTTTGGACCAGGGAGGGTCAGGTTCAGCGTAGACCTCTTTCTCCCTTTCCATGTCAGTAAGTTTGTTTGTTTTTCAATTTCGCGCAAAACTACACGAGAGCTATCTGCGCTAGCCGTCCCTAATTTAGCAGTAATAGACTAGAGAGAGGGCAGCTAATTAACCCCCCCCCCCCGCCAACTCAGGGCTACTCTCTTACCAACGAATAGTGGGATTGTTCGCACGTTACAACGTCCCCACGGCTGAAAGGACAAGCATGTTCGGTGAGGCGATTCGAACCAGCGACCTTCAGATTGCGAGTCGAGCCACCAGTAAGACAAAGAACATTAAGAGAACTCGAGTTAATTGATTCTACTGAAAAGTAAAATTAAAAAGTAAACATTTGTTGATTTAGTTCTATAGGCAGTTGTTTACCTCGCCTAAACGTTAAATCTGGGCTTTGACATCACGTTAAAGCTCACAGGAATATGTTGATCATTAACTTCTGTACTTTTGACAGCCTTTACATTTAAACTAATCGTCTCTTTGATGAAATATTTGAAATTTTGGGTTAGAAGTTTCAAAATCGTGAATAAGAACTTAGAAGTTTGTTTATTTGTTTCCGGCTATTCACACAAAGCTACTCAAGGACTATCTGTGCAAGCCGTCCCTAATTTAGAGATGATAGACTAGAGAGAAGACAGCTAGTCAACAGTACCCACTGCTAACTTTTGAGCTACTTTTGTCTCATAAAAAATGAGATTTCACTATCACCCTTATAACGCACCCTCTCCAGTACTGGAATGTGAGTAAAAGAGATCCGCAGGTCCATAGCCCGGCAGTGGCGTAGCAAGGGTTCTCAGCACCCGGGGGCAAAGACAC